TTTAGTATGGTTACAAATTTTTATATTTCTGAATTCTGAATTATTTTCGTAGTCTGCCTCAGGCATGGTATTTTAAATTGAAAATCTCAAGAAATGTTTATTGAGTACGAGCAATAAAAGTGACACATTATAAACCTCTATCATCTAAAATGTAAATGTGAAAAAGGAGGATAAATGAAAGGTACAAAGCTCCTGGTTTTATATCAGAATAATATTTTTAGTATTATGGTAACTTTTCCCCTTGTCTTAAAGTTACTACTAAAGGTGGGGGGAGGGGGACTAAATTCCTCTAAAATATCTATTGCTTTGATTTTTCCAGTAACAGTAAACTGGCCTACAAATTTATTCTATCAGCATCCAGAGCTTTTTTGCTCTCACAACTGTCCTGCTGGAATCAATGAACTGTTAATTAAAGACCTTGTTACTTAATACATTTCATAAGCTTAAACTGTTTTTTAGAAACCTAATCACTTTCATGTCACTAGCTGCAGGGATAGAGACAAAAGCTGTGGCTAATTATCAAAAACTTTACAAAGCTGATATTGAATTTCTAATGTATCCCAAATGCCCCCTTTCTCTGATGGTTCCTGTGTTCTACAGCTAGCACGATGCTAGCCTGGAGAATGGCTTCATGTTTAAGATCCTAAGGTTTCAGAAAACCTTGGAACAGTAACAGATTCTCTGGTCATTTTGAACCAGTCCTGTGCTGATGCAAATCTGGAGACCAAGTCCTTGCAATGCCACCCGCTTCAGGATGGCTGTCCCCCAGCTCCTGAGTAAAGCGGAGGAAGAGGAGAGAACTGCCTTGTAAAACAGGCCAACCTGGTTTAGACATGTTCTAACTCTCACATCTCTTTCTCCTCCCCCGAATTCTCTCCTGAGACCCAGAACTGCATTTCCAACAGCCTAATGTACAAATATGCTCCAAGTTGCAGAGGACCACTGGCTAACTGTCTGAAAGACCATATTGAAAGTTGGAGAGTAGGCACAGATTTTGAACTGAAATCCAGTCCCCAAACTGTCCCTGGGGTTATGTCCTGGGAGTGAAGGTGACATAATTAAGGCATCCAATTAAGTTGGTGTTTATTGGTGAATGTTCTAACTTGTGAGTAACTCACCTCATATGTCCTATAATCTCATACTCACGAAGGGCAGGCTGCAATCGTTACACTTCAGACATGAGTCCCACTGGTAGAACAAGGTCAAAGGGCAGGACAAAAATCTGACACCTATTTGTGATAAAAATCCTCAACAAAGTAGGCATAGAAAGGAAATTGAAGGCATCTGGATTAGAAAGGAAGAAATAAAATCATCTTACTGTTAGACAATTCGATCTAAATATAGAAAACTCAAGAAATTTATGCCAACAAAGGAGATAACTTAGATCACATGGAAAAAATTTTTAGAGTCAAATTACCAAAATGAATCCAAGAAAAAACAGAAAATATGAATGAACCTATATCAAAGAAACTGACTTAGCAATTGAACTCTCATAACAGTCAGGCCTAGTTGGCTTTGCTGATGAATTCTATTAGATATTTAAAGAAGAAATAATGTCAATTTTTCACAAACTCTTTCATGAATTAGAAGAGGAGGGAAACCTCATTTTTCCCCAAGTTAGTATTAATGTGATATGAAAGTAAAAAAAAAAAATCACAAGAACAAAAATACTACAGGCTAATATCCCTCATGAATATAGACACAAAAATCCTGAAGGAAATATTAGCAAATTAAATCCAGTAATATATAGAAAGGATTATAAACCTGAACCGAATGCGGTTTATCCCAGGAATGCAAAATTGCTTTCACATTTGAAAATGTTAATGTAGTATACCATTTATGAGCAGAATAAAGGATGAAAACCACACAATCATCCAAATAGACTTAGAAAAGGTATTTGACAAAATCCGACACCTATTTGTGATAAAAAATCCTCAAAAAAGTAGAATACAAAGGAAATTGAAGGCATCTGGATTAGAAAGGAAGAAATAAAATCATCTTACTCTTAGATAATTTGACCTAACTATAGAAAGCTCAAGAAATCAAAAAAATATACTAGAAATAATAAATGAGTTCAGCAAAGTTATAGGAAACAAGATCAAAACATAAATATCAATTGTATTTCTTTATGCTTATAATAAACAATTTGAAGATAAAATTCAGAAAACAATTCAGGCTGGGCATGGTGGCTCACACCCGTAATCCCAGCGCTTTGGGAGGATCACTTGAGTCCAGAAGTTTGAGACTAGCCTGGGCAAAATAGAGAGACTCTATCTCTTTTTTAAAAATGTTTTTTAATTAGCTTAGCATGGTGGTGCATTCCTGTAGTCCCAGCTACTTGGGATGCTGAGGCAGGAGGAGTCCTTGAGCCTAGGAATTGGCGGTCACGGTGAGCTATGATTGCATTACTGCACTCCAGCCTGGGCAATAGAGCGATATCCTATCTCTAAAAATATAAATAAGAAAAAAAAAAAAAGAAAACAATTCAATTCATAATAGCATTAAAAAAAACCCTCAGGAACAAATTTAATAAAAGAAATACAAGGCATTTACACTGAAAACTACAAATATTTGCTGACAGAAGTTAAAGATCTAACTGGGAAGACACACTGTTTGTGAAAAGGAAGACTCAATATTGTAAATAGAGTGATTCCTTGAAATTGACCGGTAGAGTCAACACAATCCCCATGAAAATCTCCTATAAACCATAATCTCCTATCAGCACAATTCCAACAGGCTTTGTGTAGACCTAACAGGCAGATCCTAAAATATATACGGAAATGCAAAGGACTAAGAAAAGCCAAAACAATTTTGAAAAAGAACAGAATTGGAGAACATATACTATCCTATGCAAAACTGACTGTAAATCTACAAGAATTGAGATGGCATGCTCCCGGCATAGAAAGAGGTGTTATAGATCAATGGCATAGAATTGAGAGTCCGGAAATAAATGCTTACATTTAGTTCAATGTATTTTTGACAAGGTGCTAAGGCAATTCAATGAGCAAGGATAGTCTTTGTAACAAGTAGTGCTGGCACAACTAGCGATCCCATGAATTTAAACCCTTACCTCACACCAGAAACAAAAATTTCTCAAAATGGATTATCTATCTGAGTGTAGGAGCTAAAACTACAAAACTTCTAGAACAAAACCTGTGACCTTACGTTAGACAGCTCATTCTTTGCTATGACATCAAAAGCAGGGATGTGAAGGAAAAATGATTATTTGAGCTTCACTAAAATTAAAAATGTTTATGCTTCCAAAGACAACATTAAAAAAGTGAAAATACAAGCCAAAGACTAAAAAAAAAATAGTTACAATCATGTACCTAATAAAAGATTTTATACCCAGAATATATAAAGAACATTCACAACTCAATATGAAGATAAACAACCCAATTAAAAAAATAGAGATTTCACCAAGAATATATATGAATGGCTAATGAACACATGGAAAGATACTTAGTATCCTTAGTCATTAAGAAAATATGAATTAGAATCATAAAGATACTACTGCACATCCACAAATGCTTATAATAAAAAAGAAATAAAGTAAGTGTTGGAGAGGATGTTGAGAAACAGATACGTTGCAGGAGGGAATATAAAATGGCGCAGCCACTTTGGAAAACAGTCTGATAACTTTCCGAAATAGTGAAATGTAAACTTACCGTACGATCCTGCAAGTCCTTCGGTAGATATTTACTCAAGAGAAATGAAAATATATGCTTGCCAGAAAGACTTCTACATTATAGTAACTTATAGCCAAAAACTGAAAACCCAATACATCTGTGAATTAGTGAATAGATTAAAAAATGTAGCATGTCCATTCAATGGAATACTACTAGCAATAAAAATCAGCAAACTCCCTGCTACAACATGGATACACCTCCACAACAGCATGCTAAATGAAAGAAGTGTACGATTCCATTATACGAAATGTCCAGAAAAGGCAAAACTTGTAGAGACAGAAAGCAGATCAGTGGATGTCTGGGCCCAAAGGTAGGGACTGCCTTGAAATGATCATGAGGGATTTTGTTGGGAAATAGTAAAAACTGGATTATGGCAATAGCACAGTTCTACAAATTTATTTAAACTTATCGGTTTGTATATTTACAATGGGTAAACAATATGGAATGTAAACTATGCCTTATGAAGCTGTAAAAAAAATGACCAGCAATAGGTAGGGTTTGTGGAGGTATAGATAAAACAAATTTGGCAATATATTAATACTTGTTTGAAGCTGGGAGATGATTAATGGGGGTTCATTATACTATACTATACTATACTATACTATACTATACTATACTATACTATACTATACTATACTATTCCGTTTTTGTATATGTTTGAAATGGTCAAAACACAAGTTACAAAATAAACAAAAACAAAGTAGTCCCACATTTATGATTAAATGATGTATTTTCTTTCCATGAGACGACTGTTCAGTGGAACACACTTTGGAAAAGGCTGAGCTAGAACAACAGAGTCATTTTACAGATGGAAAACTGAGTTCTAGAGGTGTAAGTGCCCCTTTGATGATTTTACAGCTAGATTCCAATGGACCTGAGCACAGAACTCAAAATTGCTTACATCTTAACCCTGACTTTTCCTGTTACCCCAGAAGCCACAAAACTTAACTGAAGGGCAACAACTTTTAAAATTGTCAGTGAAGAATTGTGTGCCCATCAATCTAAAAATCCTCTGCTCGCATTTTGTATATTTCTTAATGTAATAAGGTCGCCCAGGTAAATGAGAGTCGCCATCACCGTATTAAGGAATAAAACAGGACATCTTGCCCAGAGCACCTTCCCCTGCCCGCAAAGGAGTACTGTCGCCTCTCTGTGTTGCAGGATGCCCCTAAAGCAAAAATGTTTAGAATTAAATTCTTACCCGATAATAAACAAATACATACCAAACATATCAGAGGGCACAGCAAAAACTGTGCATCAGGAGTTAGCAACCCAAACGCCCAGAGGACGCAGTAACAGATGGTGGGGGGGATGGCGGGTGAGCCGGGCGTGCCAATGACCCCAAAACTTCAGGGCGCCACCTCTCGCTCCGCTCAGCTTTGAAGTCGTGAGCACTTGTGAGCCCAAACAGCATTATCAGATCGTCTGAGTTTTCAAGGGAAGTTAAGGCATGTGGATGTCTTTGTAAAATCTCCCAACTTAAAAATAGCACAGGGGCCGAAGAAACCACGTTCTGCCACAGAGCGTAGCTGGGCCCCACTGGAGATGGCACCACGCGGACGTCTGCTATGTAGTCTAACTTGTCACAAGTGCCTGGGAGCTTTGGGGCATAAGAAAGAAAAGGGTTAGGACTGGGGATAAGCAGGAAGAAGCTCAACAGTGCTCTAGAGAGAGGGCCCGGAGCGGGCGGCGAGCTAACGGGCGGGCAGTGAGAGCCCCAGTCCAGGAAGGGCGCTCATCGGCCCTGAGCAGGTGCAGGAAAGGGGCGTCCTACCACCAAGCTCTGCTGCCCCGTGGGGCCGTACGAGGAGCTTTCCTTCTCAATCAGCGCCGTCCCCCTAAAAATTGACCCTCCAGGGAGGCCCTCACCTCGAGTGCTATTGCAGGACATCCTCTGCACGAGCCACCTCCAACCATTCTGTCCTTTCTTCCCTAGACTGCCTTGAAAAGGAGGCAACACCTTTCATTCCATTCTCTGAAATGAAGACTTGAAATGAAAATTCCCAGCGCAGGCAGCCTTGGACTAGATGTTTAGGTGAATTAGACTAGATTCCTTAGGTGAATCAAGTCATCAGCAAAATGTGTTGATTTTAGATTCTGTGCTATTCTACTGAATTCACAAAGTTCAAGGACAGAGGGACCTCCGCGCCCCACAAGGGATTGGGGTGTAACTGGGGGGCTGGGGAGAGAAGGAGCAGACAGGGGATGCCAGAGCTGAGCACCGAGGACTGGGACAGCGGCGCCCAGGGCTGGCTTTCCGAGCCGCTTGGCCGCCGAGCGCTGTCAAGCTATGTAACACCCGCCTCTCTGGCTTCATGGGATTTATCAAGATTTTTTCTTTTAATCCCGCTGGCTTTATTCAAAAGGAACACCATTTCTGAGGATTCATATTAATCAAAGAGGTCGCTGCAGCCTGACTCTTTAGGCCTGATCTAAACTCACCCTTCTAAGCTACGGTGAATTCTCTTAATCTCCTTGGCCAGCCTCCACTTTCCCTTTGCCCAGCCTGGCCCTGCACTGCCTCATCTTTGTCCCCGTTGGCAAAGGCAGCTGGACCCTCCCTGCTCCACGCGCTGGCAGAGAGACGGCAGGTGGGCATGTAGCGAAAGGGTCCGAGTCTCATGTGGCAAAGCCTGATCATCAATTCCTGACCTTACCAACCTGTTTGAGCCTGGCCTTCACGCCTGTAAAATAATGATTCTCATACTCAACTTTATCAATAATCAAACACACAGACACGTGTTAGGCAGTTCACAAAATATATTCACAGCTTTCTCATGGGACAATTTTCATAATACCCATTTTTCGGATAAAGGAAGTGAGGCTCAGAGAGGTCAGGAAACTTGCTATGATTACTGACCGCGGCAGGGCCATGCAGAGAAGCCAGGCTTTGTGGGTTTAAATGCCACAGGTTGCCCACTGTACCCATGTGCTGCCTTTGCGCTGGCTGGACTCACACAGGTGTGGTTAGGATCAGATGAGGTGACGTGGAAAATAGCACCGCGTCAGCCCCTAAGTGCTGAGTGTTGAGATTTCCCCAGTGCTTTGGGGACCTCCCTGGTAGAATTGAGTTGACTTGGATGAATTTTTGCTGCAGTGACCACGATGCTGCTGCTGCCACCAACGTCAGAGAATCAACCAGGAGAAATGTCCAGTGGCATTAACCCAAAGCTGCCAATTCAATGCTGCAGAGGCCACTGTGGCTGCACAGGAACACACAGGTCCCTGATTCTGTTGTCCTCAGCCCTGGTTGTGTGAATACTCTCCTTCAGGCCGATTGTGGTGGACAGTTAATAGCCCTGGAAGGTATGTTAATATGACCTTCCAGGTTGCCAGGGGGGCTCTCCTCACTGCAGCCATCCCGGGCCCCAGGCATGGAGACCCCCTTGACATGTCCTTCTGTGATCACAGAGCAAGGGAACAAGAACCAGGTGAGCGGTGCATTGACTCTTAACGCTTCTGGCCGGAAGTGACCCACCTCACTTCCAATCCCAGGTCATTGGCCACACAAGTCACATGGCCAAGCCCAAGTTCAAGAGGGCAGATCGTATCATGCTCCCCGACAGGGGAACCACATGCCTGTGAGCAGTAAGGCAGTCACCACGTTCCCCATTCCTCCTTCAAAATGCGCTGGGAAACAGCCAAGAGACAGGAAGCACCATCTGCCCCCTCATTGTGGAGTTTTTAGCCCTACTTACGGATGCGTTCTCGTTCCCTTTATCTTTTAGATGAAAAGTGTAGGAGTTTCCAGAGTATAATACCAGCTGAAGAACAAGGTAAATATCTTACTCATGCCCTACCCACCAGCACCCCTCACACTTTAGACAATTTTTATTGTTTTATTAGGAGTGGAGGAGGAAAGATGAGAGTTATCAATGATTTTTCCATGACCTTGAGTCCAAAAGCTGGAGCCACAGACTCTCTTCATGTGCCCCGTAGCCAGTGCTGTGCTGGCAGATGTTTAACAGCCAACTTTGCAAGGGGGAGGCGAAGCCCCGATTGGCAGCAGCTGCCATTTTCTGTAGTGTAAATATTCCCGCCGTGGCTGATTTCAAGCTATAAATGCAAGCTGAAGGCAGAGTTAGGAAGGGATGAACTCTGGCACACCACTGCCTATGGCACTTTTTCTTCTCTCTAACGCTCATTAAATTTGTAATTACTTTCTCAGTGTCTTCCCTCTCCCGCTGGAACGTAGGTTTTGTGCAGACGTGGTTCACGTCTATTTCATCCATGGCTGTGTCCTCAGTGCCTAACTTGCCTTATAGCAGTCCCTTTACACATACCAGTTTCCCTTCCTGTCACCTCCACATCCAGTGCAGTTCCTTGAAGCCACAGGGGGGTCCCACCCAGAGGGCAGACAGGGGGCTCACACAGAAACAAATGAGCTTTTGGTACCTCCAGACAGGCCTCTTTGAACCTCAGACTCCTCTGCCCCATGTTTAAATTTGTGCATCTTCTTCTTTAAAAATGCAAAGATGAAGTCTTCTAGTAGAATCAAAGCAACACGTTAGCTTTTGAACTGGGGCATGGAGCCCCCTGGCATTGCTCATGTCCTCACACCAGGGTTTTGCTTAGTTTTTTTTTTTTTTTCCTTCCCAGCTATGGGTAATCTTTACAAATGTCTCTTTCTAGCCCTAGTAGCCCCCTTACATCACCAACCTTCCAAGATTCAGCGAAAGCATCTCTTTTGTTTTAAAAGTGAACTAAATGAAAGGACTGAGCATTCCAGTACTTCTGAAGTCTGAATGCCTGGTGTTTTCCACTGTCCCTTCCTTTGGCAGGTGTTTTGTGGCTGTCCATTGGGGCCGAGGTCCTGGATGTCCTTCTGGTGCTGACAAATGCCATCCTTCTGGGCTCCAGAGTGAGTCGTGACAGCTCTGGGCTTGACTGGCTCAAAGTGAATGCCGCGGTAACCATCCTCATGGTGCTCGCAGGTACCTTCCAACAGCATCCTTAGAGCGGGCTGCCCCAGAGGGGGTGCGGAGCTTCAGGCTGGGCGTGTCCCTTGTCAAAGAGTGGTCAATGGCCGGTTGGGCAGGATGGCTGGACCACTGGATAAGTCACTGAATTACTCCCATTGGATGGAAACAATGTTCTTTGGGCAACTGATGAAAAGGGAGTGGGCACAGACAGTCAAATTTGTCACAACCAGCGAAGGAGGAACACTGGCTCTGAGAACTGGAATCACCTCATTTAATACTGTGGTTAGACACGAGTCTGTGCAGGAACCTGCCTAGCTGCAGATGTCTACTTAAGGGTTGTGTGACCCAGGCGAGTGACTTAACTTCTCTAAGATGGAACGTCACTAAGCCTCTCAAAAAACTTCAGTGATGGCTAAATAAGAACACACCTTGTGTATAACAGTCAATAAATGGTAGCTTTTAAAAAATGATTATCCAAGTTTGATACCTTCCATAAAAATAAATAACTCCTTCTTTTAGTTCTACTTCTGTGTTCTCCAAGGAACTTTTAAAGTAACCTAATTTGTTCTCCTAAGTGGGCCTTTCCACCAAGAAAGACCCCTGAAAAAACGACTTCCTTCTGCTCTGCAGTGGGATACACAAAGCTCGGTTGAGTTAATGGTGCATCCATCCATCCAATTTGTAACTCACTTCTTGGCTTGATAAGTGTAACGCATCATTCCCACGCCTTGTCATCAGCAAATGGGATGATGAAACTCCAATTCTGGATCTTCCTAGTGAACTAACAGGCTGTGGATTCTTGGAGACTCCTGCCCAGGTCCTGGCAGGCCCTCCCTGATTGAAGGCCTCTTGGGTTTCAACCATGGGAATGAGCTGTCAGGTGGAATGCCTAAGGATGTGTGAGTGCAGGTGCATCATACGGACGTTATGGATGCTAGAGAGTGCCCCACAGCCAACCCGTGCAAGGTAGAGAAGCTCTTCTATCATGTCACATTATTAACTGTGGCTCACAAAGCTTTCCTTGCACAGGGCTCCTAGGCATGGTGGCCCACATGATGTACACAACCATTTTACAGATCACCGAGAATCTGGGACCAGAAGATCGGAAGCCTCAGACTTGGAACTATGGCTGGTCCTATTGGTAAGTTACTGGGTCATGGTACTCAACCCTGGCAGACCAGGAGGGATGCACATAAGTTTTGTAGGACAACCACCCTTGGCCTAGCGCTGACATCTGCTCATAGCATGACTTTGCACTGGTTTTGGAAACTGTCTGCAGCCCAGTTTCCTCATATGTAAAGTAGGATACCTGCCTGAAATGTTTTTATAGGGATCTAAAGAGATCACTTATAAAATTCTTGGCACATAGTAAAGTTGCAAAAAAATGGAGACATTGTTGTCATTACATTCTTCGACACAGCATTTGGGAAATGTCCTGATCTATAAACCCTAATAAATATCTTAATGAGGGAAGACTCAGCCCCTGTTTCTAATGCAACACAAGGCTGTGACAGCGAAGTTCTGGCTCTAATTGAAAGACTTGGCCACATCATGCAAGACCACGGGGGTTCTCTGTGATGTGGACCTCTGGAGCATATGGTGTCTTCAAAACAGATGTACGTATACTTACATTTCCATCTTACATAAGCTTATATAACAACCTCTTATGCTACTTTCCTCTTTGTAAAACACACGACACTTTGGGGGCTCAGCCCCTCATCCTCCTCTTCCAGGACTTGGTGAGCATGTCTGTGTTACTGTGATCCGTATGCTTCGTGATTTGTTCAATTTAAATTCTTCTCAGCCTTTGCCTTCCCAGGGATGAAGACATCCCTGTACACCTGTCCCTCCACCTGTCTGTTGCTTTCGCTGCCTCCCTCTGGACCAGTGCCACCGGTCCTGAGGTGACAGCACTGGCACTGCACACCGATGACAGTATAGTTGCAGCAGAGCTTGGACGAGTGGTAGGCGGGTCCTCAACCTTGGCCCATTTGGGCTGAGCTCCTGTTGCTGTGGATGGCAGTGAATGCCGAACACCAGAGCAGGCTCAAGAATGGTCTGGTTCCAATACCATTTTGCTTTGTTTCTTCCTATTGCTTTACATGACTTAATTTTTAATAAAGAAATATACGCAAATAGTTTTTACAGATCAAATGGTACTAAACATAACAATCTAGCAATAATGTCCTCTCCCTACGCAACCCTTCTGGCCTTGGGCTTCCCTGCTCTATTCTGGACTGGTTGCCATCCAGAACTGTCACCAGGAGGTTTCCTATGCCACTCCCCGATGTGGGGACGCTGTTCTCTAGGTTGTGTAGTATTATCTTACCTAGCTTACATCCACATGTTGTGGGAGAACTTCCTCCAGTGGCTTCCTAAGAAAGGATTCAGTGAGAGAGAAACTGTTTTATTTCTCGTGTATCTGGAAATACATTCATTCAATACTCCACACTTGACTGAGGGTTTGGCAGAGTGCAGAATTCTTTGTTGTAAGTCAGTTTCCCTTAGAATTTTGAAGATGCTGCTCCATTTTCTTCTGGCATTTATTGTTTCTGTCAAGAGCCTAACACCATCCTGACTCATGTGCCTCTTTAGGTGGCCTGTCGTTTTCCTCTCTTTATCACTGGTATTTTGAGATGTCACCAAGAAGTCCCTTGGCTGGGATCTTCTTTCCTTCACGTTCATGCTTCATCCGTGTGCGTGATGTGCCCTTAATCCTGAACATTCGTGTCCTAGAATTCTGGGAATTTTTCTTGTATTATTTCCTTATTTTATCTGCTCAGTTTTCTGTTCTTTTTTTTAGAAAACTGTTATTAGTGAGATATTAAATCTCCTGGGTTAATTATCTAAATGACTTACTGCTTTCCTTACATTTTCTATCTCTTTCTCTTTTTGTTATACTTTCTGGAAATTTTCCTCTACTTGTCTTCTAACCTTTCCATAGTATTCTTATTTTGGATCCTATTTAGTTTCCAAGAGCTTTTTCTTGTTTTCCAGCTGTTTCTTTCTCACAGGATCCTGATCTTGCTTTATTGATGAAGCAACTTCTCGTATCCCTCTGAGGATATTAATCAAA